CCCCCCCCCTGGACACACCCCTGGCCATAGCAAACGCTAAATCTTCAGGAGGTTGCTTGTTGTGCACAACATTTTCCTGGAAACACCGCATCCTCTCGAGCTTCTAATTACACTCATGTAACAAATTTAAAACAATTTGTTGCTGTGGGTTATATCTATAGTTAAAAGTACTCATCTTTTTAGGTCCCATGAGATGAAACGTGGGACAGTTATCGAAGAGTTATCGACGGTTTTCAGAGATAAGAAGAGAAGAATGTCTGAAATTGATCAAGCTTACCAGATGTTTCTTAGCCATGATGTTCTGTGTAATTCAGGTCTGTAAGATGTAAATCCGTCTCTGATACTGAAGCTCCTGCTCACTTTACTCGCACAACTAATAAACTAATCAGCATCTCAGCAAATCGCTAACTAGCACTGGAATAAATGGGCGCTCCCCATTTGTTCTCTCTCTTTCCCACCTTCCTCAAATGAAACTAATTACTTACTGACACACTGGGGGCAAGAAGAAACAAGCGAACGGAGAGGGAAAGTGATAGTAAACGAGGGAGAAAAAACAGAACATTAGGTGAAAGAGAGAGAAGAAGCAGCAGGAATAGACTTGTCCTGTTTTTCTGGCTGTTATTACCTTGGTTCAAGGTGTGCAGGAAGAGAGGGAGAGGCAGAGAGACCTGAGGGAAGAGAGAGAAAGAGAGAGAGAACGAGTGAGAGGGAAAATTAGTCAGAAAGAAAAAGAAGAAAAAAGAGATGGAGAGATAATGAAAGAGAGGAAGAGTGAAATGCTCCGGGCATTGATTATTAACACACCAGCAACAGCTGCTCATGAATCATTCATGTCAAATCACACAGCACATCGCTAACAGCAGCAGTACAGGAACATGCACTAATGTAACACGCATTCATATAAAACAGCAAAATAACAAACAGGAATATTAGCCTGCACCCCCTGACACTGATGGCTATTTACCACAGAGGAAACTTAAAAGTCAACCCTTTTTATGAGAAAACACTGACTCAACCTCACACCTCCACACTGTTTTTCACTCGTCGCTCGACAATGGAAAATTCTGTCCTTTGGACCTTTGAACCCCAAATGTGTGACTTTGTTTAAAGGACTTTCTGCTCCTTTAGAACATTTTTATTTTGTTTTATCGTGAAACTCCACTCGAGCCACCTGTTTTATCTCCCATCTCCCTAAAAGCTCACTTTTGACTGGGTTCTTTCTGGAAGCCTACTGAAGAGCAGCACACTGTACTTATGAGCTGCTCTCATTCGTTTTAATCTCAATATGACTTTAAATTGGAGAAATAAAGAATGTAATACTAGACATTTTACTCCACCTGTTGAAGTTGAGAGCATGTGGGACTGGATCAGTGCAGAGGGGAATCAGCAGCGACTGTTTGCTTTGTTACAAAAGCAATTTATGTATCTATGCTGCACCACACTTACTGTAGTCAGCACAAAAATGTTGGTTTTCTTTCCGAAATATATATCTCTAGTAATTCAAGATATTGTTATAGATATATACTAATTCAAGATATTCTTCCTACATCCAAGTAGAAGGGTTGGATCAGGCTTTCTAGAAAAGATTGTGAAATGAACAGAGCAAAACAAACCTAGCATTAATCTTGCAGACGCGTCTAAAACCTGCATTCAGGCAGGTTAAATAGTCACTGGAGCCTAAAGACAAGTGGAAGCTAAATTTACTTGAACTTTTACACGCTTGCTAACAAAGACTGAGAAGTTTGCCCGTATTACTTTACATATTCTATATTAGGATTAAAAACAGTAACAGAAACGAAAATCTTACTCAAATCATTTATGGAGCCATAAACTCCACATTTGAGTCACCTGGAAACATGTAAAACTCATCTGGAGACTTTTCAGTAGGTTGCAGATCAAAGAGTTCATTTTAGCTTCCAGCAACTTTTCTCCTTTTGGCTAAAAAACAAATGGCCTGCTTTTATTTTTGTCAGAAATGATGGATGCATTCTTCCATTTAACTAATAGGGGCTGATGCTCATCCTAATTTTGAGAAAAATTGCACAAAACCCCCCAAAATAACACGACGATGGAGCTGCATCTAGGACTTTAATATTGTGCAGCAATAAGAGGGAAGGGACTTGAATTTCACTTTCACTAAGTGGAATTTAAGTGAAGTTAAAGGGGTGAATGCTCGGGGAGTCTGGACTTCATTACCAAATCCTCACAGCCAGTCACCACTGCACTAATGAAAATATGCAAGACTGTCGTCTCAATTTCAATCATGTTTTGGTAAGAGAAGTTAAACACTATGTATTTTCATACTGTCTTATACCATCCATCCATCTTTCTATGCCATGTTATATTATATTCATATTATACTTACTCAGGAGCACAGGTACAATAACAGAACTGTCTACACAGGCCCTGAGGATTAATAACTGGGCTTTAAGTTGCTCTTAGATGTCTCAAAACTTCATGTTACCAGGAAGCAAAAGGTAAATATTTGCAGCATTTCTTCTGGGTGTTAATGTGCAGATTTTCAAGGCAGTCTATAACCAAATACTGTAACAAAAATATACATTTTGCTGCTTCTTCCTTTGAGTTATATAAAAAGGTTTGAATGACATGTTTTGTATTTTAGCAGCACAGCGATGCAGAGATTAGCTCCACGAGGCCCTGTTGCCTCACAGCAATAACGTTCTGGCTTTAAATCTATCTTTGTGGTTGCTGTAGGTGGAGATGTGAGATAAATAAAGCTGATTGGTCAGCAAGTCGTTCAAAGTGATAAACTGATGAACATCCATTTGAAATTTCTCTAGTTTTGCATGTTTTTTTAAAGTCAAGTTACATTAACGTACAAATTTCCACCAGCAGTTTCCAGCTGTGCTCTTTTCACAACGACAAATGCTCCGTGTGAAAAGTCTCACAGCAGAAGTTTCTTTACCTCCGATCGTACAAGACATTTTTTGTTTTTTGAAAGCGTGCTATACAACAAACTGAGTCATATGTTACTGGAGAAAATACTGGGCTGAAGTCTGCAGTTCAATAGCAACAAGTAATGTGCAATAAACACAAAGATGAGTGACAATATTAAACAAAACTGTTAATGAGTTTTACTAATGATTCTGTTTCTGGAGCGCTTCCAGAGCAAATGAATGCAACTCATCCAAAAGACTTCCAGGGTTTGAGGGTTGAGTTGATATTTAGAAACTGAGAGCCAGCGTAAGAATAAAGGCTGCACAGGGAAAAAAGGACAAACACTTTTCTGTGTTTGTAATGTGTGTCTTAATTATCGTGGTTAGTACTGGTAACCATTAGCAACAGTTTCTTAACCATTACTGATGTGGTTGCTACTTTTTGTCATGCTGGCTCTCAGGTGAGGAGAGACAAAATTAAAGAGAGGGTCGGATTTTCCCTTCGCTACTTGTCTGTATTTATTACAGGTGACATAATAAGCCGAGTGGCCAAGAATCACATCACACGGGCAAATACTGAACCCACGGTGCACGTACCCCCCCAATATTAAAACACTTTACTCAGTGTGAAAACACTGAAAGATTATTTACAACTATTTAGAACCCAGATTGATCCATAAAGGACTTTGAAAGGTTTCTCGTACATTGATAACATCACTTAATACAGTAATGTTATTGTATGCAGTATATATAAAGTTAAAAACAGTCTGTGGGGAATAAACAGCAACGGTGCAGTTATAGTTAGTATAGGTAGTTGACTGTACTTTACTGCAGTAGCTTTTGTAAAGACATTTTGTGATCAACTTCACATTTTGCCAATGAAAAACAATATTTGCAACGAGATCACAGTTATGACTTTTAAGATGTTATCTGAAACAGTTAACATCAGCAGAAATATGTATTCACTCGGTCGTGGCCGGGTTCAGTGTTTCTGTAAAACAACTTGTTTTTAAAAATGTTGAAATTACTTTAAAGTGGGAGGAGAAGACGCTCCACATCTAAAGCATATTTGTGAAAGTTTTGTTGGTCACAGTTTTCACAAACAGCTGTTCCAGAAATTGAGGCTCAAATTTGTTCGGGTGAAATGAACTTACATAAATAATAACAATAATTCATGCACTACCTTTTTTTTACAGTATATTTTGTCTTTTAAACATTTAATTTTATTATCCTGATTTTTCCACAATGCGTGTGAGACATATTTATAAGAATAAACATTTTATTTAAGAATCTTATTTATATCATTTTTTTAATCAACACCTAAAAGTAATATTTAGTATGAACATATTATTTTCAGTAGATGTATGTATAAAATATTATTAGTACTTTACATGCACTAAAACAGATTTACCTTCGTTTTTAGCATCCAGCAGTAAAGATTGCATAAACTTTGTATGATAAAAGTTTGTCATTCATATTGTATTCCTGTTATAAGTATGTCCAACACAAGTATCTCACACTGCATCCACACTCAGGTTGCCAAGTCCCCCCCCCTCCTCCTCCTCACCTCTCAGAGATTCCCCGTATCCTTCGATCCTTCCTTCCCGCCTTTCTGGTCTTCCTCCTCCTCTCTTCTTTCTTCTTCTCTGTTCTCTTCTTCCGTCTCTCTCATCTGTTGCTGTTGCTTTCTGTTGTTCTCTCTTTACTTCTACCTTCGTCGCCACTTCCTTTTCTGCATCCACCCACTCACTCATTACCACACACACACACACACACACACATTTTTGCGTACATATACGCTTTCTATTCCCCTCGTCCAAGGTTATGGGTCCCCCTTAGACTGCACGCCACAGGCTTTAACTCTGTGTATTTATTTGGTGTGTGTGTTTGAGGCTATCAGCAGTGTTTCACAGTGGGGCTGTACAAACTGATTTTCCACATCTTTTTTCTCTCCAGCTGTCAGATGAGCAGCACCAGGATTAAAACCTATTGGGACACAGCCGGGA